ATGTTCAATCCCTCTCACCCCCAATTTGTAATATGTTCAAAAAAAAAAAAAAAAGTCTTTAGGGCATGTGCATTTTTTTTTTCTTTCGTTCCTTCTCTCCCCACTGCTTCTCTCAAATCAACTGTTAATAAGATACTCATTTGAGAATGGCTTGTTTTGAAATTATTTTAGCAAAAATAATATAATTATAATATTATATGATATTGCAATTTTTTTAATATTATATATTATTATATATTGATTTTTTTTCACTTAAAAGATTCATTTATGATATTATATGCATGAGCAATAATTAATACATCATTTGGTTTAATAAACATACCAATAGATATTGATAGATATATTAAATCAAAAAGTTTCAATTGATATCATATTATGATTACAAATTTACAAGCCCTATATGCATTGGAAATAAAGCATTGTGGATATTTTAATTATTGTTTTTGTTTTATTTTATTTGATACAAAATCAAAAGCCATAATTAAATTTAAAAAAGTTAATGATTTAAATAATTTAGTCATCATTTATTTTCATTGAAAGTAAAAAATTTTGAATTCAAATCGCATGACATACAAATGATGTGAGATAACGAATGAGACATGATTGACTCTCATTATGTGATCAAGATGAAGAAAAAAAAAATCAAAAATATCTGTCTCTATCCAAACTACTAATCTCAAAATTGGTTCCATTTTGGTTGGAATAAAAGATTATTTTTTTGTTTCTCCTATTCAGCAACGTCCCACACCTACCCCTCTCCTGGCGCCTTTCCTACTCCCCTTGGTCGCGCAACCTTCTCTCAACCCAAATCGGAACCCAGCGTGGCCAAAAAGTGCTCCGGTGATTGGCCGGAGCTTGGAGGTAGTTTGACACATGACAACCACTATTGGACCGCCACTAACTAGTCAACGATTAAATAACATAATTAGTTGTAAATTTTTTTTTTAAAAAAAATGATATATATCTACAATTTTTGCTTATTTTTTTTTATAACATCAAAAAAAATTTTATTTATTTTTCAATAACATAAAAAGTTTTATTAAAAATACTTAAATAAATTTATAAGTTAAATTGTATATTTATTACCTTAAAAAATATTTTTTTCATAAAAAATAAATTTAAAAAAACCCCAAGATATTTCCACTAAAAAAATTGATAATAACAAAATTTAAATGCCAATAAATTAACATGCAAAAACTTTCATAAAGAAAAAAAACGAAAACATTTTTTTTTTTTTTTTTGAACAAGTTTTACATGAAACTGGATCAAACCTAGCTCAGGAGAGGGGGAGTGCACCATAAAATGGCTATTGCCACTTTGCCCAAAGGGCTCGGTGCAAGCGAAAACATTCATTAAAAAAAAAAGAAGCAAAAACTTTCATAAAAAAAAAAAAAGCGAAAACATTCATTAAAAAAAAAAAAAGAAGCAAAAACTTTCATAAAAGAAATGCAAAAACTTATAAATTAGCATACAAAAATATTTAAATAATTTTACAATTAATCCTATCCATTTAAATTACAGATTCTCCTGAATTTCACTTCCCTTGTAAGAAAGAGTTTTAGGACTGAAATTGCAATTGTTCTATTGTTTCACTGAAGCCGTCTCCCAATTGTCGACCGTCGCAATCCAGAGAGTGAGGAGAAAGAAAATGGAGGAATCGGTGAAGAGATACTTGGAGAAAGGAGGGGGAGAGAATGATAAGAACGCAGCAAGTATAGATGGTATGCCTTTGAGATTCTTCGAACGCTTCATCATGCAAGGCCTCCGGACGGATCTCATCGAACCTGGTCGCGTTATATGCTCCATGAAAGTCCCTCCTCGTTTACTGGTACTCTCTCTCATGACTCTATTACTAATTCAACAGTGACCCTTTTCTTTTTTTAGCACAATAACGAAGAATTCCGGAGAATGAACTAGAATAAACCCTTATTTGGTTTCAGGGAAAATGGCAAATCGTTTTTTTTTTTTAGTTTTCTAGTAATTTCCCATTTGATGCTCTCATAGTTCGTTTTTGGGGCAAATTATGCCGAGAGTAGCATTTGCCACATATTTGTTTCCTTGGAGAGCTCAAGAAATCAAGTGAAATTTGGAAATTTGACATCTACCCAGTACTGTTTATGGATATACATTAGATTATTCAATCAGGGTCTATTTGATATGAGAGAATGGAATTTTTGGCTGCTCTTTCTAGATTTTCCTTTTCTTTTATGATTACCCTGCTTGGTTGTGGAAACAAAGCTGGATTAAGGAGAAAGATCTTCTCAAATTCTGAGCCAGCAATGTTATAATCTTAGGCTCTCCTCTCCAAGTGTATGTGATTTTTGGGTTCTTTGTTTATTGTCAAGAACGCTGGTAAGTTCTTGCATGGTGGGGCCACAGCAACACTGGTGGACTTGGTTGGCTCTGCTGTGATATTAACTCTTGGACTTCCCACTGGAGTTTCTGTGGAAATCAATGTATCATACTTGGATGCTGCTTATGCTGATGTGAGTATATCCTGTGTTATTTTATATTGAATTTTTGTGATTAAATTTGTCTTCTTTATTTAGTTGTTGGAGATTTCAGATCTTTGCATTATATATTCATTCAGTTTTTATTAAGAAAGGGAAGAAAAATGAGAAAGTGATTGGGTTGGTTCTTCAAGGTGTTAGACCAACCTACTGTCTAAAAATGATGATTGACATCATCCTTCAGTTCCGCAAGACCAGTTAGAAACTGATTGAGTTAAAGAAGACTGAAAAATGAAAATGGTTATTAAACCTCATAAGTAAGAAATGATGGATCTTCAGTGATATCTGCTCTTAATTTCGTATTCCTGTTTATGTTGTGGCCATTGATTTCATGTGGACCACAAACTTTTATGGTTAGAAGTGACCTCCGCTTTTCAATCTCCATGATGCTTATCTAGGGTTAGGGATATAGAGGGACTTGAAGACTCGAAATTTTTAGAGTCAACAGGTTACCCTCTTCCTCTTATAACCATGATGTTGGATGATGCATCAAAACATAATTGTAAATATGATGTGTCACAATTGCATGAGCAAACCATAAGGGAAGTTAGTTTTTAATTTACCTAAAGAATGACGAATCTCTAGGTGTTGCACTTTTATTACTGTGACAATAAGGATAACATTAGATTTTGACATTAAACAACAAGAAATTGTTTCATGATGCATAATTTCTTCTGTTTGTGATTAATCTGCCATTGTCCTTTATCTTTCTTTTCGGTTCTCTGCCCCTTATTCTCTTCTACATATGCCTTTTCATATACTTAAAATAGAAATGGGTACTTTAAAGGGAAATGCCAGTGAAGTGTGCTTCTGAATGTCTCTTTTTATTTCTTTCGTTGGTTATATTGTTAACTTCAGCCAATAGAGCTTTCGCATTTTCTCCTAAGTTTATTGGTTGTCTGTTGTAAGTACCTGGCAAGCGTAGTCTAGAATTGGAAGGCATCATTCCTCATTTATGGTTTCCTACAGTAACTCATTTATAAATTGTATGAACGTACACATTCTTGTTGTTGTCCATATACAGGAGGAAATTGAGATCGAGTCAAAGGCTTTACGTGTTGGGAAGGCTGTTGCTGTTGTGAGTGTAGAATTGAGGAAGAAAGAAACTGGGAAAATTATTGCTCAGGGCCGTCATACGAAATACCTTGCGGTTAGTAAAATGTAAATTGGCATTAAAGTTTGCAGCTTGCCACACTATCTGGCCCTGCCCTCCCCAAACAACTCTAATAAAGATTGAGTGTTGCTTTTCTCCCTTTTGATATTTGGGTTAGGAACTTCGAATCATCTATTTTGTTATGGAAGGAACATGTTCCGTACCGATCGACTCACAAGCTCAAATATACGTATTCAAAAATTTTCACAATTTAAAATTTCTGATGGCTGGCATTCAATTAAAGGATTGGTTATTTTGGCCTGCATTAATGACTTGGTTTGCTCCTTCATGTTTTGACATTCTAATCTCATGCTTGTCTGGACGACACCTTATCTTCCACTTTTAAGGTTTCATGCACTTAGACCTTAGATTAATTTTATACCGATTTATTTCCTAGAAACAGGTTTAGAGCTTGTCTAGTGCAACTTGTTGCAGCATTTGCTTTTTTTTTTACTGTTTATAAACGATAAATTTAAATTTTTATTAAAAAAATTTAAAATTACTTTTAAATATAAACAAAAATGAGTAAAAAAAAACTTATGAAAAACTTTAATTGAAAACTTTTAATTTTTTATTGTTTATAATCTTTTTAAAATTAAAAAATATTTAAAAATATAAATTTAAAAAAAATTTAAATTTATAAAATATAAATAGTATAACCACTTGAAAAACTGCACCAAACGTATCTTTAGTCTTTCTGAAAATGATAGCTAGGAACGTCCACCCCGGTTTTTGTTAGAAAGAAAAAAGGCTTCAACGTTGGGTTTTCTTTAAATCAGGCTCCTACACAGAATAGAAGATTGGTAAAAGTTCTTACTTGCACATTTCAGTTATATATGTCAGCATTCGTACACAAAATCTTAGACATTTAAGCCAACTGCAAATTCGATAAGTTAGCCAAGGTTCAATTGTTACTTTGAGTCAAGGTCCATCAATTCCTTGGTTCCATTGGTTGCCAAACCAAAAGCATCTCCTAAATTAATTGTCTTTCTCATGGTTCTCCTTCCCCCGATACCTCCGTTGCCCTTCCTCATCATTGCAGCAAATTCCCCATAATCTATTTGCCCATCCTGCAACAAACCCTTTTGTTAGCCTCGAGTAAGAATAACTTGGAAGAGAAAAGATTTCATTAACTTCACGTTTGAGTTCAGACAGCCATAGCTCTCGATCTTTTACACATCAAGGGTGTTTATTTGTCAAGCAATCTGCCAGTGGCAAAGCATTATGGTATTTCTAATTTGTTTACCTTCAAACATAAAGCCAAAGCGTTTGCATTCAAAATGTACTAACAACAAGAGCAGCGGTGATGGGGGGCCCATGACTTGTTTCATTAAAGGTAGGGAAGAAAAGTAAACTTACATTGTCTTGATCAATTTCTTTGATCATCTCATCAAGGTGAAGCTCACTCAAACCGAACTCTTTGCAGGCCTGTTGAAGCTCATCGATGGTTATGTATCCACTTCCATCTTTGTCGAAAAAGGAGAAGGCTGAGAGTAAATTCTCCTCCCTCTCCAGCTTATTCAAGTGCACAGTAGCAGCAAGGAATTCACCATAGTCAATTGTCCCACTATTGTCAATGTCGGCCTGCCAAGAACAAAGAAAATCTTTGGTCCATTAGCTAAGCTAAAATGACTACACAAGGTGTAGAACTGAAAGTCTGAAAGCTGGAAGTTTATTTGATAAAAGATGGTATCTCTTACTGCAGCCATGAGATCCTTGATCTCCGATTCCATAAGTTCAGAACCAACTCGTTTTAACCCATCTTTTAATTCTTCAAATGTTATAGTTCCACTGTTGTCTGTGTCTATCATCTTGAATAACTCTTTCAAACCGCCAATCTCTTCTTCAGAAAGCCTCTCTGCTATGACCTATGAAATTATTGGGTGTTAAAGTTGGCATACAATTTTCATAAAAGAGATGAGGGAGGGAAGTACAAGATATGATGGTGTTACCATTTTCATCAAAATGGTATCTGACTTTAAGGAACAGATATTCAATATCATAACCAGTTTAATAACACATTAAATTACATAAATATGAATTTTGTATTGTGAAATGTAAGGAAGATCACGATCGCACAAGCAGTAAAAGCATTGTATGCAATGTTCCCCAATGAACAAGGAAAACAGGCTCTCTCTCCCCTTCCATATTGTGTAGAGAACCATCAAGCAGATAGAAAACAGCAGGGTTATTAAGTTCAGATTTCCACAAGCTTGAAAATTTTCCAACATCACCAAAATAGTGACAATATTTTTGACAAAGCAAAATTGTTAAACATCACACTAAATGGTTGCATCACTTATATAAATGTCTTGGATTTGTAAACTTAACTCTTTCACTAAGGAGAGAACAAGAGACCACTCTTCGAAGTTATGAGAGTATAATTCTCAGAAAGGAAAGCAATAATAGTTTCAATGACTCAGCCTACTGACTTAGCAAATTTATCTCTAGTGTCTTGCTGCTTATGACAAACAGTATTAAAATATCTAAGCACATTACTAATCCAGCTTAGTTTTAGAATATAAGCTATGAAGCATATAGAGTAGTACACAAGCTCGTAAACCATCTAAGCAAAATATGTCCGTGTGCATATGTTAAAATTCTTACTCTCAAAGCCATCTTCTTAAGTTTGTTCATTGCAGAAAACTGTTTCAGGCGAGACAATACTGCAGAATCAAGAGGTCTATCAGGTGCAATGTTATCATCTACAATCCATGGGTGGCCTGATAAAATGGGCAAGCATTGTGAGTTTGTAAAACTTAGAAATTGATCAGCTGTATTAATATACTCTTGTATAAAATAGAAGAGGCTTACACAGGACTTGATGAGCAGTAAGCCTTCTTTTTGGATTACGGTCAAGCATTTTCCTTATCAGATCTTTGGCACTTTCTGAAATAGCAGGCCATGGTTGAGAATCAAAATCTAATTTCCCTTGTAAAATCTGCCGGAAGATCCCCATTTCACTTTCTGTAGGGACAAAAGAGATGAAATACATGAGTGCTAAGTATCATAAACAAATTCTCTAGTAAAACCCTAGACACTCTTTTCTTTATCAGTGAGTATGAGTGTATGACTCAATGATTGGTACCTGCCCAAAAAGGAGGAACCCCACTTAATAATATGTACAAAATGATACCAGCACTCCATACATCTGATTCAGGTCCATAATGCTTCCTCAACACCTCTGGTGCCACATAGTATGGACTCCCAACAACATCAGAAAAGGTTTCACCTAAACAAATAAACGAGACCATGAGTTATTGTCAAAGTGAGACAAAAGCAGACATTGTTAGAACAAAAAGACAAAAGGTCTATCATAGTTACAACTACAGACAATATGAACAGACTATTAAAAAACATAGGCCTCAACACAACTTGGGATTCTGATGTGGGATTTCCCACTTTAACACAGACAACACACAGATCTCAGATGTACCAAGGCATGAGCTGAAACCAATATATCTTAACAGAATAAGTGATATGTATGTTCCTCAAGTGTTATAGCTCGTTTTATTCCATTCTTGTTTTTTTCCAGGCAAATGAATGCAACAACAATCACAGCCTTTTTGACAAATGAGTATCAAGCTAAATTGCATTCTGCTGATTATGCGAATGATACTACTAATTGCACCAATTGGGCCATAGAGGGAAAAAGATTAGGAATACACCTAACAAAAAGGAAAAAAAAAAAAACTACCATGTAGTAAAAACACAGAAAGGTAAAGAGCAGAAATGAATTATCAAGGAAAAAGGGATCATATGGATCATGAAAGGACTTCTGAAGAGCTCATTGATAAGAGACGAACCAATATTGAAAGAGGAAACAAGCTATTTTGAACATATGTTAGACAAACCCAAAACCAGACCCTAATAAAAAAAACCCTAATAAAAGAAAAGGAGAAGCTAAAACAGGTGTACTCAAGTTAGAATTCATCCAAACCTAAAGAAATGTTAAATCGCAAGTAAGGGTGAAAACCCACATAAGCAATCATAACCAAGAAGGGTTAAATAAAGTAATAAACCCAATATGAAGCAAAAAGAACGAGGCCTAAGAAATGAATCAAACCCGGTTTGTAGAAAACAGACAACCCAAAATCAGTAGCCTTGAGAGCAGCATCTTCCTCCACTGTATCAAACAAGAAGTTCTCAGGCTTGAGATCTCTATGCATAACCCCAAGAGAATGACAAGCTTCAACAACCCCAACAATGGTTTTAATCAACTTAGCCGCTTCCCTCTCACTGTAATGCCCCTTCCTCACTATCCTATCAAAAAGCTCACCCCCTTCACAGAGCTCCATCACCAAGTGCACACAGGACTGGTCCTCGTAGGTATCCCTGATCCTCACCACATTCGGGTGCTCAGACAGATGGTGCATTATCTGTATCTCTCTCCACACATCATCATAATCCTCCTGGCAAATTAACTTCCTTTTTGGGATTGATTTGCAAGCATACCTCTGGCCAGTGGACTTATGGGTACAGAGGTATGTGGTGCCAAACTGACCCTGACCCAACGTGTTCCCGATGGTGTAGTGTTCAGTGAGGTTCTGGGTTGGGTAGGGAAGTACCCTTGTGGATTTGGTTTTGTTCATCCTCTTCTTCTTCACAAAGAAGTGATCTTTGTTGAGAAAAAACAGAACACGAAGATGTAAAAATGGAGTGCTGAGATACTTTGGAATGAAAAAAGCAAAGACCTTGACGAAACCAAACCCCCTCCCTTAGTTCTTACACGAAGCAGGGGTTAAATAATAAAGAAAAAAAGAAAAGAGAAGGGAAAAAAGGTAGAAAAGTCCTCGTCATCACTGGCTGTCTTCCTTATCTCTGAGACTGTGTCACGTCTTCTCTTTCAAAAAAAATTAAATAAAAAATGATTCATTCACGGCTCTACATTAAGTGCTGATTTATTTGAGTAGAGATTAATATTATTTCTAACAATGAAATTAGTACTAAAAATAATTGGTGTTCCCTGTACTTTTTTTTCTTTTCTTTTTTTCAAATTCAAATAAAGCTTTAATACTTAGTACATTTTTAACTTATACAGTAAATAATAAAAAAATATATATATTCACTAAATTTCTTAAATGAAGACTAAAATTAAAGTTGTGTTTACTTTGAGTAGAGATTAATATTATTTCTAACAATGAAATTAGTACTAAAAGTTCCCTGTACTTTTTTTTCTTTTCTTTTTTTCAAATTCAAATAAAGCTTTAATACTTAGTACATTTTTAACTTATACAGTAAATAATAAAAATATATATATATTCACTAAATTTCTTAAATGAAGACTAAAATTAAAGTTGTGTTTACTACTAGTGGTTTTTATTTTTTATTTTAATTGTCAAAATTTAAATAATAAAAATTATTAATAAAAAATTAAAATTATTAATTTATTAGATATAAATTTTTTTAAACAATACTCAAGACTTCAAATTTAATTATTTATAAAATTTTTTAATTTTATTGGACTTCTGAATTTTTAAGAGTATTTTGACAAATGAAATTAATAAATCATTGACCCAAAATTTTTTCATTTGCAAAGTTACAAATAATAAATTATTTTGAAATTTGAGGTGTGTAATTTATTTGAATTGAACATTACAGCTAGAAGGAGTAGTTTGACAAAGAATATAAGCTGCACACAAATAATCAGTTAGTGCTAGTAGTTGTATAGCTTGATCCGACACCCTTAATGTGGTTTTGTCTCTTGTAGTAGCTGAGTTAAGAGAAATAGAAGAGTGTTTTTTTTTTTTTTTTATCTAGAGAGATAATAGAATATATTTTTGATACATCTAATTATAAATTATATAAGAAAAAATAACCTTCCCTATTCCTAAATCCCTCCCCTAAAATAAGAGTATTAATTCCAGATAAGTGCTGTGGACACTTAGTGTAAGGCTGAGTATTTATGCATTCCACACCTAATTGGTATAGATTGTTTGTGCGCTCTGCATCTTAACATTCCTCTTAATGCGAAGAGATCAAATATAAAAACAAACAGTGATATAAAATAATTTTTGTGTATAATTTTTAAATATCATTAAATGGACAAATATACTTAATATTTTAAATTTTAAATAACTAAAAAATAATTATTTAAAGAATACATAAAATTATATTAAAAAAATAAAAAAATATATTTCTAAATCATTTTTTAATAAAGATTTGCTGGTTGGTAAAGCCGACTACAGGCAGACAAATTAAATCAAAGATACTATTAATTATTCTTTCTTCACAAAACGTTAATGAGATTTGAGTAAACATAGGAAAATGATTGTCATTTAAGAGAAAATCTCAGGCCCATTACCTCGTCAAATGCACGTGACCCTGTCTTTCCCATCCTGCAATAAGAATAACTCTGACTTTGCAATTTGCCCAATAGGGCCATATTTTATTTTGGGTTAAATTCCAGATCAGCTTTTCAAGTTGCCACCCACTTCATTCATCAATTAAAAAATTTTACTAAATATAAAAATAACAATTTCTCAGTCACGTGCAATTATTTTGCATTATTTTTTTTTTTCTAAAAATATCACTTTCAAATGGGTATCCTCCAAAGTTGAATCTACAAAATCAACAGTTGAATTTACAAAATCAACAGTTGAATAATTGCAAACGGAGACTTTTCCAGCCTCTGCATTGCCCTAAAATACTGCTTTGTCATAACAGGCTCCGTCCTCCCTGTGGATGAATTCGAATTCAAGGTAGGGTGTCCCATCCCGTTGTAAAGTATAAACTAAAACTAAAAAACTACGTTGTCCCAGCTACATAACCCATCTAACTTAAATATCAGTGCATAACCCCAGCACAACACTACTTGACCCACCTGTTTGCCAAAAGTCTAGTTGCGAGTAATCGCTTGAAACAAACAGATAAGCAAATACCAGAAGCAAACTAAATTCACCAATTGTAGAACATATAGAAATTTCATCTTGCATTGCTAGGCAAATGGCATGATATATAGAGACAAAACTGGTTCAGAGGCCATAGACTATAAATTAAGCAGATCCCTAGAGAATTTACAATTGGAAAGGAGGTTTAACTCTTAGCAGCATCACATCAAGAACTTGGAGCTCATCTATGATAGGTTATGGTTAAATGTGGTTGTAACAGAAGGAAGCTCAGCTTCAGTTTCCAAATCCTGTACAGGATCTAAGTTCTACTAGTCTAAAGGTGAATAAGTTAGGCAGTAGGGGGAAAGAAAATAAAAAACTGAATACTATCCTATTCCTTTCATTTCACTTGTGAAAGTTGAAGAGCTAAATATTTTACTGCCTTGATGCCTGTATGGCACTGACTGCACTTGAAATCTCCAACAGCTGTTGTTCAGTTTTAGCTTTCCATTTCGTCAATTCCTTGACCATCTCCTGCCAAAGAGGACAGTCAGAATGGAAATCTTTTAACTCTCAAAAAAGATAGGGATCTTTTAAATACATAACTAATCACACGGGCACAAAAAATACATGTAAAATAACACGTCTGTATATGGAGTATAAAATAAACAGAACCAAGTTAATTCTATGTCTGACATCACCTGAAAGAGGATTACTGAACTATCAAGATCCAACTTTGAATTGCCAGTAACAGAAGAATCTGGTGTCACATTAACTTGATCTTCCTCTTGCCTCACAGGCACTAGCTCCAACACATCACTGTTTAAGCCAAAAAGATGATACTCGTCAGAATAATTATAACAATCTTCTCCCAGAATTTCATGTCACCTAGTTTTCATCACCTGTTCATTTTAGCCACATCATCATTAATCAACTCTTGCTCTTGAGCAGAAATGGGAAATTGAGAGAGGCTCCCACCAGGTTTTGACCAAGTTGGAGGAGGCAAGCATGGATTCTGAACTGCATTTCCCTGTCCAAATTCAACCACACCTGTGCTATCAAGCCATGGCGCAAGATCATCTCCCTGAAAATTCTCCAGGTTGGTGCTCTCCAACCAATCTTCCCACCTTTCAGGAGCTGACGGACTGAAGGTGGTGCATTGCTTTGATGCCTGCAGGCTGCTCACCGAATTTGAAATTTCAATCAGCTGTCGATCAACTCCAGTCCTCCAAGTTCCCATCTCCTGGTACATATCCTTGATCAACAACAAGGAAAAAAGGAGTTAATTATGGGCATATTACAATTATTGCACACATGTATGAGTGTGATACCACCAAGACAGCAACATAAGACAAGTTTTGACAGGTTAAAACTTTAAAATAAAAAATTGTTTTTTTCCATTATTACCTGTCAAACTATAAGTAGTACAAAGACTAACACAGCATTCCCATACCTGCATTCTAGCCAGAGAACTTGAAAGCCCCATCATGCGGTGGTCTGTCTGTCTTTCCAATTTCACCAATTTTTTGTGGATCTCCTGTAAAATAAATATATGAAATTAAAAGAATAACCAACAAACATTCAATCAAAGGTATTAAACGATTAATGATTGAGATTCAAGATGCTTCAAATATTTACCTCAATGGAATTGGATTGATCTTGATCTCGCTGCTTAATTAGAAACTCCATATCCCTGTTTACACAAAAATAGAGGGCACTTTAATAAATCAACAGAAGACTACTGGATCAAGGTAGCTTTTCCTGCAACTATCTACTGGATTTGGAGGGATAGAAACAGCAGAATTTTCGAGAGAGAACATGGTTCAGAAAATGTGTTGACAGCCAAGGTCTTGAAACATCTTAGACTTGTTTTTTGATTATTTGTGTATTGGGCATTTATTTTCTTCACCTGGGTATGCTTGGGTTTTTCTGTAAATGCCCTCTTTGGGGTTTTGGTTTTAATGAAAA